CCGGCTCTCGGTGTCACCGGGATCACAGCGGGAGCTCGGGGATGGATGATGTGGGAGGAACTGGGTGTCACGGGGATGTTGAGTCATATAGGGTGGGCTTTCTCCGCGGGGAACGGAGCTGCCAGGCAGTCATCTCCCGCAGCAAGCTGTGACATGGATGATGTCCCCAGCCTGGAGAACGCAGCCAGCTCCCGCTGTGGGTCCCTGGCACCTGTAGCCATCCCCCCTCACCACTCAGCGGGTCCCTTGCAGCACCCCAGCGTGACACCCCGCCCTGAGAGCCCCTTTTCCAGGGAAAGCATCCCAAAGTTTGTGAGCCTGGAGCTCGGCAGGAGCAGTTTCTGCAAGCAGAGCCGTGAGGGGAGCTGGCAGGTAGACAGACAGAGGGATTACTCCGGTGTTTATCACATTAGGGAGATACATAAAGGCCATGGAGATCGGGGCCTCGAGTGTTCAGTGTGACACTCAGTGAAGGACAAGGCCTGTCCTAAAGAGCTTAAGCCTAAATCTGAAGCGAGAGCTCCAGGCAGGCTTGGGCAGCTGCAGGGACAGGCAGCTTCCCTGCTCGGCTTCTCAGGGCACAGCATGGAGGTTCAGGAGGAGATTCCTCAGCTGGGTCAGGCCCTTTCTGCCTCATTTCCTTCCCTGGCCCAGCAAATCCTGGCCACTGGCAGGAAGGTGTTATTTGGGAGAGGTTCCTGACCCTGGGGTGGCTCCTGGCCCTGGGGTGGTGTCTGGATCTGACCTTGGAGTGGCTCCTTGAGGAGAGGGTGCCTCCCCCTACTCCCCTCAGGTTCTCTCTCTGGTGCTCTCTCTGAAGGAGCCTCTCATGGCACCACGACCTCCCTTCCCCTTCCCTTTCCTTTCCCCTTCTCTTTCCTTTCCCCTTCCCTTTCCTTTCCCCTTCTCTTTCCTTTCCCCTTCCCTTCCCCTTCTGCAGAGATCCCAGTACCCGTGTCCCACCATGGATGCAGGGTAGGAAATCTCCAGAGGTTTCTGCCATCTGTAAAATCTGGTTTGGATTCACTGGGCGCTGAGAGCTGCCCTGAAATCACCTTTGGAGATTTGAGCCTACACCCACGGCCAGGGCTGGGACTAACAGGGGATGCCTGGGGACACCTGAAGCTGGATGTGCTTTCCCAAGGGCCATTGAAGGCTCTGATGGGGGATCCCAGGAGTGACAAATCTGGTGGAGAAAGTCGTGATGTGTCTGTGTGAAGCATGAAAACATCCCGGTGGCATTTGCATGTGAGCAGGGCTGCTGGGTGTCCTGACATACCCAGCTGCTGCCGGCATCTCTTGGCTTTCCCTCCCTGCCAAACTCTCAGTCAAAGGAGGTGGATGAGGAGTGCCCTCATCCTGCCCTGTGCATGTGGCACCTCCTGTAGGGCTGGACCCTCCTCCCACCTTCCCCTGGTGCCAGCATGGTCTCTCCTTGCTTGGCTGCTGCCTGGCTCACCACAGCAGCCTCCCTGATCCTTTTGTGCTGCCCCAGGAGCTCGGCTCTCCGTTTGCATAACCAGCAAAGCTTATCCCAAATCCTGCTAAGCCAACTCGGGTGGTGGCAGGGAGATGGCGGATGACAAGGAGCCTCAGGGGAGCAAAGCCCACATCCTCTCTGAGCTCTCCATGGGGCACGTGGCAGCTTTGGGGTGGGGGCATGGGTGGGCATGCACTGCCCTGCAGCAGACAGAGAGACAGCCAAGCTCCTGCACCCCCCATTCCCACACAGGGTGATTTCTGCACCCCAGTTCTGCTCACATCTGTCCCAGGGTGTTAGTCATGTGTGTGGACAGGCGCGTGTGTGTGTGTCTGCTCAGCACCTGCCTCTCTGCACTCTGTCAGACCCTAACTTGGATCCTGGGTTAATTGTCTGTGTCCTGCCTGTCCCACTCCTGCATTCCCCGCAGGTTTTACTGGGACCTCATCATGCTGCTCCTGATGGTGGGCAATTTGATCATCCTGCCCGTGGGCATCACCTTCTTCAAGGATGAGAACACCCCTCCCTGGATCGTTTTCAACGTGCTGTCGGACACTTTCTTCTTGGCTGACCTGGTGCTGAACTTCCGGACAGGCATCGTGGTGGAGGACAACACGGAGATCATCCTCGACCCTCACACCATCAAGATGAAGTACTTGAAGAGCTGGTTCCTGGTGGACTTCATCTCCTCCATCCCTGTTGACTACATTTTCCTCATTGTTGACCTGGAGACCCAGGTGGACTCTGACGTCTACAAGACGGCGCGGGCGCTGCGCATCGTGCGCTTCACCAAGATCCTCAGCCTGCTGCGCCTGCTGCGCCTCTCGCGCCTCATCCGCTACATCCACCAGTGGGAGGAGGTGAGAACCCCTCTGGGCCTCCTGCTCAGGGTCCCAGGCCAGGCTGGGGGTCCCCAGCTGGGGGGCAGAGGGCTCTAAAGGCCGTTCTAGGAGTTCCTCTGCAGCTGTGTGTCGAAGGAAGGGGACCAGGACACCAGCTGGTTCATCACAGGTCCAGTTTATTGAAGAAAGCGTCAAACGCTTATACAGCAAATAATAAGCTTTTGAATATTCTGTAAGCCAAGCAATCTATTGGTTAAACTATACCATTAACTCTTCCTCATTCCTTAGGGGTTACATCTCTCTTTTCTCATGTCTCTTTCACTATTTGTTATCATACTACAGCTAGGCCCAAGGACACACGATCTTACAGGTGCAGAACTTGGAATTAGCCACAGCTTTGTACTTTTCCAGTCTCTAGTCAGCTAAATTCCCAACAGCTGGTCTCCTGCATGTTCTCCAGATCTTCCACATGACGTACGACCTGGCCAGCGCCGTGGTGAGGATCTTCAACCTCATCGGGATGATGCTGCTGCTGTGCCACTGGGATGGCTGCCTCCAGTTCCTGGTGCCCATGCTGCAGGACTTCCCTGAGGACTGCTGGGTCTCCAAGAACCACATGGTGGTGAGTGCCCAGGCTGGGGTGGTTCCTGGTGGGGAGAGGATTTGGTTCCCTGGCTCCCACCCCAAGGCTGGAGCTGCTGGGAGGGGTGCTGGTGAGCATTGTCCCCGTGGTCACAGCAGTGAGATGGGGCAGAGGGAACCTCTGCATCACCTTCCCATCTCAGCCCAGCTTGATGGAGTCAGGGAACAGGACACTGGGGCTCCTGCCTCCTCCCCAGAGCAGGGCTGGTGCCTTTTTAGGGCTTCAAAATCCTCTTCATAGAGGAGAATTCATCCCTTGCAGAGGGAACAGGACAGTGGGGCTCCTGCCTCCTTCCCAGAGAGGGGCTGGTGCCTTTTTAGGGCTTCAAAATTCTCTTCATGGAGGAGAATTCATCCCTTGGAGAGGGAACAGGACAGTGGGGCTCCTGCCTCCTCCCCAGAGGTGCAGGGTGCCTTTTTAGGGCTTCAAAATCCTCTTCCTGGAGGAGAATTCATTCACTGGGGAGGGAACAGGACACAGGGGCTCCTGCCTCCTTCCCAGAGAGGGTTTGGTGCCTTTTTAGGGCTTCACAATCCTCTTCATTGAGGAGAATTCATTCCTTGGAGAGGGAACAGGACAGTGGGGCTCCTGCCTCCTCCCCAGAGGTGCAGGGTGCCTTTTTAGGGCTTCACAATCCTCTTCATAGAGGAGAATTCATCCCTTGGGGAGGGAACAGGACAGTGGGGCTCCTGCCTCCTTCCCAGAGCAGGGCTGGTGCCTTTTTAGGGCTTCACAATCCTCTTCCTGGAGGAGAATTCATTCATTGGGGAGGGAACAGGACACAGGGGCTCCTGCCTCCTCCCCAGAGAGGGGCTGGTGCATTTTTAGGGCTTCAAAATTCTCTTCCTGGAGGAGAATTCATCCCTTGGGGAGGGAACAGGACAGTGGGGCTCCTGGCTGCTCCCTAGAGAGGGCTGGTGCCTGATTAGGGCTTCACAGTCCTCTTCGTGGAGGAGAATTCATTCATTGGGGAGGGAACAGGACACAGGGGCTCCTGCCTCCTTCCCAGAGAGGGGCTGGTGCATTTTTAGGGCTTCAAAATTCTCTTCGTTGAGGAGAATTCATTCCTTGGAGAGGGAACAGAACACTGGGGCTCCTGCCTCCTCCCCAGAGGTGCAGGTTGCCTTTCTAGGGCTTCACAATCCTCTTCATGGAGGAGAATTCATCCCTTGGAGAGGGAACAGGACACTGGGGCTCCTGCCTCCTCCCCAGAGGTGCAGGGTGCCTTTTTAGGGCTTCACAGTCCTCTTCATTGAGGAGAATTCATTCATTGGGGAGGGAACAGGACAGTGGGGCTCCTGCCTCCTCCCTAGAGAGGGGCTGGTGCCTTTTTAGGGCTTCACAATCTTCTTCATGGAGGAGAGCTCATTCCTTTGGCCTTGGAGGAACCTTGTTCTCTGGACTCCCCAGCTTAGAGAGGTGGGACTGGGGGGTTCAGCTGCACAACACCTTCCACCAAACCCCTCAGCAGCACTGTCCCTCACCTGCAGAACGACTCGTGGGGCAAGCAGTACTCGCACGCCCTGTTCAAGGCCATGAGCCACATGCTGTGCATCGGCTACGGGCAGCAGGCGCCCGAGGGCATGACCGACGTGTGGCTCACCATGCTCAGCATGATCGTGGGGGCCACCTGCTACGCCATGTTCATCGGCCACGCCACCGCCCTCATCCAGTCCCTGGACTCGTCCCGCCGCCAGTACCAGGAGAAGGTCAGTGGGATGGTGAAGGGAGGGCCTGGGTGCTGGGGAAAGAGTCCTGGCACAGCTCCAGAACCAGCTCAGCGCAGCTGCCGTGCCCTTCTGATGCCGGAGGTTGGGGTTTTTGGCCTTGCCACTCTCCCTGGGGTTATTGCAGATGGAGTTTGGGCTGCCCATTGAGAGTGGGACCATGTTGGTGTCCACGCTGGGGTTCACTTCAGTGTGGCCCCACCCTGCCCTCTGCCCTGTGCATCCTGTCCTGTCCTTTGCCCCCTTTGTGTCAGGGCACTGGAGCAGGGGTGTGTGTATCTACACCACTGAGGGGAAGGGACACACCACGCAGCCATGCAGGTGGTGCCAGCTGAGCCTTGTGTGACTCCCCTTGTCCCCACAGTACAAGCAAGTGGAGCAGTACATGTCATTCCACAAGCTGCCCGGGGACACGCGCCAGCGCATCCACGAGTACTACGAGCACCGCTACCAGGGCAAGATGTTTGATGAGGAGAACATCCTGGGGGAGCTCAGTGAGCCGCTCAAAGAGGTGAGGGCAGCACTCCTGTGCTGTGATCTGGAGGGCAGAGACTGGTGCTGGCAGGGGCCAGGCTCGGTGATGTCCCCACTTATCGAAACAGGATGACCACCATGCTTGGAGAAACGATGAGAAGGACTTTATAATATCAGAAGGTTAATTAATTATTTTATTTTATTTTATTTTATTTTATTTTATTTTATTTTATTATACTATATTATACTATATTTTACTATATTATATCATATTACATTACATCTAAACTGAATTTGCCAAGTACTCAACTCCCCACCTATCAAAACAGGATGACCCCCGTGTGGGGAGAAATGATGAGAAGGACTCCATAATATCAGAAAAATAATTATTTTATTTTATTTTATTTTACTTTATTTTATTTTTTATTATTATTTTACTATATTCTATTAATTACATTACATTACATTAAATTACATTACATTACATTACATCTAAACTGAATTTGCCAAGTGCTCAACTCCCCACTTATCGAAACAGGATGACCCCCGTGTGGGGAGAAATTATGAGAAGGACTCTATAATATCAGAAATTTAATTATTATATTATATTATGTTATATTATATTATATTATATTATATTATATTATATTATATTATATTATATTATGTTATGTTATGTTATGTTATGTTATGTTATGTTATGTTATGTTATGTTACATTATATTATATATTTTACTATATTTTACTATATTACATTACATCTAAACTGAATTTGCCAAGTACTCAACTTTGTACACAACTGCTTAAAATCTCATGGCTCTCAGCCAACAGTCCCGACATATATACACGCTTGGCCCTGATAGGCCAAGGAAACAAAACACCACCACTTTGGGTAAACAATCTCTATATTTCAATCTACTTTTGCACAAACACAGGCACAGAAAGCAACATATGAATAACTGTTTTTCCTTTCTCTGAGGTTCAGAGATTGTGGAACCCAGAAATATTCTTGGGGAGAACTGTGCCTTGCTTTTCTCTGTGAAATGTGGCCACACCCGCTGATCTGCTCCTCATCCTCACCCCACAGGAAATCATCAACTTCAACTGCCGCAACCTGGTGGCCAACATGCCCCTGTTTGCCAACGCCGACCCCAACTTTGTGACAGCCATGCTGACCAAGCTGCGCTTCGAGGTCTTCCAGCCTGGCGACTTCATCATCCGTGAGGGCACCGTGGGCAAAAAGATGTACTTCATCCAGCACGGCGTGGTCAGCATCCTCACCAAGGGCAACAAGGAGACCAAGCTGTCTGATGGCTCCTACTTTGGGGGTGAGGCTGGCCTGCGGGAGATGGTGGGCAGAGTAAGGGCCAAAAGGTGCCTGGGAGGAAAAGCTGGGGCATCCCTGATGTTTCTGCCTGGGGTATCCCTGATGTTTCTGCCCTGGAGCAGAAGCTGGGACGTCCCTGATGTTTCTGCCTGGGAGGAAAAGCTGGGGCATCCCTGATGTTTCTGCCCTGGAGCAGAAGCTGGGGCATCCCTGATGTTTCTGCCCGGGAGGAAAACCTGGGGCATCCCTGATATTTCTGCCCTGGAGCAGAAGCTGGAGCATCCCTGGTGTTTCTGCCCTGGGAGGAAAAGCTGGGGCATCCCTGCTGTTTCTGCCCGGGGTAACCCTGATGTTTCTGCCCTGGAGCAGAAACTGAGGCATCCCTGATGTTTCTGCCCTGGAGCAGAAGCTGGGGCATCCCTGATGTTTCTGCCTGCCCTTCTCCTCTTGCCCAGTGCCAAAGTCTTGGCATCCAGTTAAAGTGCCAAAGTTTTCACCCCAGTTCTGTCTGGCTGGGGCAGGGGAGCGTCCACAGCTGGCCAGGGAGGAGAGGAGGTTGGAGCAGAACATCTGAGCCAGTTTATAGGATACAGGCACAGCTCTGGGAGGGAAAGAGGCCAGGCCATCACAGCAGCCACACCCGGGGGTGTCTCCATGGCCTGGAGAGGGAGGGAAATGCCTGGCCAAGGAGAGAGGCTGCAGGGTCTGAACTGTGCTCTGTGCTGGGGTGCTGGGCAGTGCTGGGGGTGGCTGGCTGGCCGTGTCACCCTGAGGGCAGCCCCGTGTCCCTGCAGAGATCTGCCTGCTGACGCGGGGCAGGCGCACGGCCAGCGTCAGAGCCGACACCTACTGCCGCCTCTACTCCCTGGCCGTGGACAACTTCAACGAGGTGCTGGAGGAGTACCCCATGATGAGGAGAGCCTTCGAGACCGTGGCCATGGACCGCCTGGACCGCATTGGTGAGGAGGAGGAGGGACCCCCTGGGCTCAGCACAGCCACCTCTGCAGCCACGCCCAGGACTCCACACAGGTGGTGGAGCCCCAGAGCTGGGATGAGATGATCACAGTGCCCCAACCCCGTGGGTGGCCAGCAATGAGGATGATGGGGAGCATGAGGAAGGAGCCTACCCTCTCTTTCCCCCCCAGCAAGATCCAGGCAGTGCCATAGGACAGGCTTCCCTGGGGAAATGTAAGTGCTCTGCACGGTCCTTGCAGTGTTTGGAGTGATGGTATCTCATGGCTCTCAGGCCCACATGGCCCACATCTCATGGCCCCACACCCAGCTGCTTGTTCTCACCCTTCCTTGCCTGTGGAGGACAAGCAGGATCCCATTCCCCAGTTCCTTTGGAGTCAGGACTCTCCTGTTTGTCCCTGCTGCTTCCACTGCTCTAATCTAGACTCTTCCCAGGGTCTTGCTTGCCCTGGAAGGCTGGTGAGGTTTTATTGTCCCTGCCCTCCACACTGTCCCCAAGAGCCCACACTCCCAGAGTCGGTGACACTCCTGCCTCCCCTCCAGGCAAGAAGAACTCCATCCTGCTCCGCAAGCGAGCCGAGCACAGCTCGGGCCCCCTGAACACCGAGATGATCCAGCAGATCGTGAAGCACGACCAGGACATGGCCCACAACATCCAGGACCTGCAGCAGATGGC